ACTTTAACCAATTAAAACATCAGATAAATCAAATGACAACACAATTGAAAGCAATTTAAAAACAATACGGCTGAAAGAAACATAGCTGAGGTACAGATTCAATGAGTGCAATACATTTTTACAGGCCATTGTTCCGCATCCTAGTCTCCAGGGCAGCAGAAAACAAGCTTGCCCCCTCCTCCCTATGACTTCCCCTCACATATTTATATATTAGGGCTGTCCAAACACGGAAAAATTTGTTTCTAAACTCGATTCGTTTTTAGGGGGGGTTTGCGTTTCGTTATTTAAAAGAATTCCGAAATTTTTCTTTTAAAAAGTTCTATATTTACGAAATTTCGTAAATGTAAAAAATTACGAAACAATTACGAATCGATTACGAATCGATTCGTTAATGGCGGCCGCGATCGCGCAATACGCTAAAAAAACTTCTGAAGCTTCCCTCTCCCTCTGTTGTTGACTGTTGGTGTGATAATTATATTTTTTTTCACTGAGAAAACAAACAGCAACCCTAAAACTTGCACCAGACATGCGGAAATAATAACAAAACATTTACGAATCAATAACGAATCAATAACGAATCAATTCCGAAACAATTACGAAACAATTACGAAACGAATTGGAAAAATTCGTTTCGTTTTTTAGTTGCTCCTGAATGGTTCAATATCGCTTCGTTATTAAAAAAAAATAACGAATTTTTAACGAATTACGAAATTACGAAACGAAACCGCCCAGCCCTAATTTTCATCCAATTTTCCTTTAAATCCATTGCATAGTCCTGTGGCAGACCTTCATAGGGCTTGTTCTCCAGACCCTTGATCATTTTAGTCACCCTTCTCTGGACACATTCCAGCTTGTCAGCAACTCCCTCAAATTGCAGTGCTCAGAATTGGACACAGTGTGATTCCAGGTGTGGTCTCACCAAGACAGACTAGAAGGGTAGCATGACTTCCCTGGCTCTAGACACTAGACTCCTATTGATGCAGGCCAAAATCCCATTGGCTTTTTTAGTTACCACATCACATTGTTGGCTCATGTTTAACTTGCTGTCAATGAAGACGTCAAGATCTTTCTCACATGGACTGTTATCGAGCCAAGCATCCCCCATTCTGTATCTTTGCATTTCCTTTTTTTCTGCCTAGGTGGAGTATCTTGCATTTGTCCCTGTCGAACTTCATTTTGTTAGTTTTGGCCCATCTCTCTAATCTGTTAAGATCATTTTGAATTCTGTTCCTGTCCTCTGGAGTATTCATTATCCTCCCAATTTGGTGTCATCGGCAAACTTGATGAAATTCTGCAAATACATACATTTCCATAGGCTGTTTTACTTGTCCCAGTCGTCCTGGAGACTAATTTAATCTCTTTTGGAAGAGTATTCCAGGGCTGTGGAGCCACTACAGAGAAGGCCCTCTCTCTCGTCCCCACCAAGCGCGCTTGAGACGGTGGTGGGACTGAAAGAAGGCCCTTCCTTGCCGATCTCAAAGCCCCCGCCAGTTCACAGAAAGAGATGTGGTCTCAAAGATAGGTTGAACCTGAAGCATATAGAGCTTTGTAAATAATAACCTGCACCTTGAATTGAACCCGGAAAGTTGTCGGAAGCCAGTGGAGCTGCTTGATCAGGGGCATAGTATGTTCCCTATAGCTAGCTCGTTAGTAATCTGGCAGCTGACATTTGCACTAACTATAGTTCCTGAACTGTCTTCAAAGGCAGCCCCACGTAGAGTGCATTACAGTACTACATTATGGATGTTACTAAGGCTTGGACCACCATGGTCAAGTCAGGCTTTTCGAGGTACGGTTGCAGCTGGCACACAAGTTTTAACTATGTGAAGGCCTTCCCGGCTACCACTGACACCTGAGCTTCAAGCATTAACCATAAGTCCAGAAGGACACCCAGACTATAGACCTGATCTTCAGGCGGAGTGTAACCCTGTTGAGCCCAGGTTGCCACTCTATACTCCGATTGGCCTTGCGACTGACCAGGAGGACCTATGTTGTCTGAATTAAGTTTCAGTTTGTTGTCCCTCATCCAGTCCATCACAGCTGCCAGACACTGATCCAGGAGCCAGGGAGCTTCCTTGGATTGAGGTGGAAAAGAGTAGTAGAGTTGTGTGTCATCTGCATAGAGATGGCATCTATCCATTTATATATTTAACTGCAGTTGGACCACTTTCACTGAGATTAAGGATGCAGGGTTCCCATGAAAATGAGAAAAGTGAATAAAATTATTCTTACCCAAGAAAACACTCTAGAAATTTCTAGATCTTTCAGGATGATTCTGTGGTCAACTTCAACCAGATGCCAATAACAGAATCACCATCGCGGACCTAGAGATCCTCAGAGATGTGTTATCAAACTCAAGGTTCTCCAGTGTGATCTTGTGGCCAACCACTTCCAGCAGGTGTTGACTATGGAATTGCTCTCAAGAACCTAGGGATTCCTAGATATTTCTGGAGAGTACATATTAATCAAGCCTGTGAATAATCAAATCTGCAAAAATTAATCCTGAAAATTTAAAGAGCCAACTGTACTATATGAGCGGTCAGCAGTGCAACATGAACTCCCTGTGTTATGTATGCATGCATATGCACACATGGATATGTTCTAACATTTTTCTGAAGGTTTCCTAAACAGTTTTGTAAAGTGAAATGCATGCATCTGCAAATGTATGTATAAAATGATTGATGTTGTAAAGGAAAACAAAAAGGAAATCTTGATTATTATTGGATGTAAAGAAGACCTTATTTTTGACAATATTCTTATGTTAATAGGTGTACTTTTAAGGGTACTGATACCTATGTATTCCCAAATAAGTGTTTTTCAACACAGGTAGGATTAGGATGCCTGAGTTCTGTATGTGGCTGCAATTCACTCATATGTGTGTGTGTATATATATACTGGAAACAAATGTGCTGAATGTGGTGTTTGATACTATCTTGTTTTTCAGTTTAACTCTCCTCCCCTTTAAAATGAGCAAAAGAGTGCAGATTTTACTAAAGAAGATTAAGACCTTTGCATCCGTCCCTTAGGTACAGCTTTTAACGTGTCCAAGGACAAACAGGAAAAGCTGTTTGCCTGGAATGATGGAGGTAATGAATGGGCTGCCAGCCCTTCCTGCTGTGGCAATTTTGAGAGGATGATGTGTTATACACCACCCTATTTACTGTTGTGATGAGCTTTAGACATCTCCCATTATTTATTGTACAAGGCTGAGGAAATGGTAGAGGTCACCCAAATCAGATGAAGGGGGCAAATGAGGGAAGACAGTGTGAGAGAGAGATAAAGAACAATGGGGAGCTTGAATAATAGATGAAAAAGGAAAGGATTACAATGGTAATATATTTTTTAACACTGTAACTTTTTTTTGGCTACTGTCGCATGATCGTTTTTTCTGACAATCTGAGGACAGGATAATCTGAAAGGCCTGTGTGTGTGTGTGTTCTTGTTCTTGATATTTTCTCTTTCCCCGGCAATTTTTAACCTGGGAAACTGGCAAAATAATGTTGGATTCCAACCTTTTTGCTAAAGCGGAGAGAAATATGGTATATTTCACAATGGTAATATGTTATAATTATTGTAATATGTTATAATTACACAAAAAGTTATGAACAATTAAACATTATCAAGTTTTATTAACCGTTTTGAGATTAGAAAGAAATCTGAAAAATAAAGCCACAAATGGAGAATATCTAATTAGGCCTTATGTTGCTGGCTTGCCATCTTGTGAGTGACTGAGCTTAGGGGCTGTTTGTGCACTAAAAGAGGCAACTAGAAGTAATCATTTGAAACTCTATACCCCACACTTCCAAGTGGCAAGAGTTTCATTCATGGGTGGTTTGTGGTTGCTGAGATACCTCAATTTCAAATTGGGTCTATCTTTTTGGAACACCCCACCATATATATAAATCCACACACACACACACACACACACACACACACACACACACACGAATCCCATCAAAATCCATATCTATCTATCTATTGGGATTTTGATGGGCTTCATAGATAAGTTGAAAGTCATTCCACAGAGAGGAAAAAGGGGCCAGATGCCACTGGCAGCAAGAGTCAACATTACCTTGCCCAGACATTCAAAAAGGCCAGAAATGGCAACATGGCAGAGAGTAGAGTCAGGGGTCTTGCCTTTCACCACCATGCTCAAAGGATATGGTTCATTGCTGAAAAAGCTTATCTGTCTGAACGTATCTCCCTCTACGAACCATCTTGGACAGTGGTTCTCAACCTGGGGTCCCCAGATGTTTTTGGCCTACAACTCCCAGAAATCCCAGCCAGTTTACCAGCTGTTAGGATTTCTGGGAGTTGAAGGCCAAAAACATCTGGGGACCCCAGGTTGAGAACCACTGATCTTGGAGGTTAAGATCATCCAGAGAGGCCTTTCCTTGCAGGTGCGACTGGCGGGGACAAGAGACAGGACCTTCTCAGTGGTGGCTCCTTGACTATAGAATTCCCTCCGCAACAAAATTACATCAGTGCCCTCTCTCCTGGCCTTCAGAAAAAAAAGTAAAAACTTGCCTATGGGATCAAGCCTTTGGGCAGCAAGGAATACAAGGAATGATCAGGGATTATGTGCAGGGATTATTTGACATTTGGAATGGCCTTGGACCATGATTTCTGGTTTATGATTTTAATGTTTATATTAATATGTTTTTAACACCACGTTTTAACCACTGAAATGTTGCTATGTTTTTATGATCTAATAAAACACATGATCTATATGTTATTATTGCTATATGTTATGTTTTATATGTTTGTGAGGCATTTAATTTTGCCATAAATATGTTGGAAACCGCTTTGAGCCCCCCTCGGGCGAGAAAAGCCGCATACAAGTGAAACAAACAAACAAACAAATAAACCAACAATATAAAATATCTGTGTTCAAAGAAAAATAATTCGTAATATGGAACAGGTCTTCAGTATCCTGCAGAACTGCTTGCTATTTCTCATGATTTACTAAAGCACAATAAAGTATCTAAAAACATCAAATATATGAATAGGTGTATAATTTATTCAGCTTGTAGAATCCAGCTTTTTATGGCACAGAACCGATTTTTTTAAAAAAGTGTACAGTACAGAGAGCTCTATTAAAAGAGCTAATTTCCAAGATAATTACCATATGCAACAAACAGTGTAAAACAATTCATCTTCCACTGCCTAACTATTTTTCCAAGTTTCTCTTTCTTATTTTGTTAAAATGTGGAAAGATAGCAAGGAATTATTTATTTGGTCATCTTGTGAATTGCTTGGCATGTTTAGCCCTTCTGTATCCAATTTATAACTAATTGTGAGGGGCAATGCCTTAAGAATCAGGAAAGATGAGTGAAAAAGAAATATGCATCTTCAGGACTGGTCCTTTTCAACTGGTCTCAAAGTCCTTAATTCTAAAGAGAATTCGGTTTCTTTTTCCCCAGAAGAAATCTTTCAGTACAAAAACAATGTGAACAAAACTTTTAAAAAAACAGATATATTTTTTATTTAAAAAGAATATAATTATGGCATTAATGATCCCAACCATTTTGTTTTATGAATCACGTTCTTATTAGTTTCTATTAAGTTTCAATACAACATTACATTTAAATAAATTGACCCTGACCATAAAACACAAAGATCCATTGATATCAGCAGCAAGAGCAACATCTTTGATTCAATTAAAATGCCCACACACGCTCTTTCACAAATGGCCCACTTAGAATGAGGCTCTTCCACAAATAGACATCCTTCAGAACCCACTGTTAAGTAGCATCCTAGGATTGTAGGATAAGATCCATATGCTCCAAGGAGGAACTATAAGAGAAGTGCTGACGTCCACCATCCACAAGCAGATTGAATGCCTTCAATGCCTTTGGTTTCAGTATTATTCCCTTTGGAAAGTGAATCAGCTGAAAACTATTACAATGGAATAACAAAAAATGAAAAGTTCAGTGTAATATATGGCACCAGCCATTCTTTACACAGTTTGGGACAACGTCCTTGTCTTTCTCTCTTCAATAGATTTATTCCAGAGACTGCGTAGTGAAGGCAGTTTGATTTTGTCCATATTTTTGCTGTAAACATTGAGAAATATACCAAGGACAACTAATAAACCTGACCAAACATACCTAAAGAGGAACAAAAAAGAAACATCACATTAGAAGCTGAATGAACTTCATGCTGAAGACTTTGTAGAAGGCAAAACATGAGTTTCTGAAATTACACTGGAAATAAGGAAACAATAGACCTTCACATTTTTAATACTAGTATTAATTAATTAAGCCTCAGTTTCTTTATAACAGATGTTTTAAAACCAACTTTCTGGTTATTTCACTTTCTATCATCAATTGTGCCACTGTTATTACAAAATCCGTTTTTCCCAAACTTCAGTGACCTAAGAGAAATTGTTCCTTATCCTACATTGTGACCCTGTATTATAACTGAAAACACAGTTACTTCTTCTTTAAGTCTATTTTTGGAGAATATAAGAACGCTTGGTCCGAGAGTAGCTCGACTACAGTGTTTTTGCAGGCCTCCTGAGAGAAAGGACATTAGAGCAAGAGTTGGAAATGCATCTATGAGGTCTGGCAAGGTCATTCTTGCACACTGCCAGGATTGCCTAGCAGTCCCCTGAGTCTACTTTGCTGGCAATTTTTTTTCTCCAAGAGAAAATGGAGAATAACGCTGTTGGAAACTGGGCTAAACTCAGAGTCCCCTGCACCTTGTTTTACTCTCTACTCCCCAAAACATTTCAGATAATGGCTTTGCATGAAGTTGCTAATATGGTCTATCACAGTTCTGGAAGGGTGGTGAAAAAACAGTTCCTAGACCATCTGTAGCTTTTTACTCTGGTACTGGACCTATGGCTCAGACACACATACATGAAAACAAGAGGCAACTCCTTATAAGAATAAGTAACTCTGTGGTGCCTTTGGATGAGGTAACTCCAGAATTATTGTATAGCATTTGTATAGCCACAACTTTTAGTTCAACCTTGTGCCATCTAAACAACTAAAACACTCCCAAAAGATGCTTACAAATCTCCAAAGATTAAAATTCTAGCACCCTCCAAGGAAATCTACTCCAACGTTGAATAGCTCTTACTGTGCAGAAGTACCTCCTAATATTTAAGTGGGATCTTTTTTTCTCATAATCTCAATCCATTGATATCTGTCCTAGTGTCTGGAGTAGCAGATAAGCTTTGGGAAAGAAGCTTTAAAAGGAAGTTCATTATAGTAACTCTTTACTTCCTCAATATTCTGTAGAAACAAAATTAGTTATTTCTATTTTATGTCTCATAGTAAGTAGATGGAGCAAGCTTTTTAGCCTTTGATACTTCTGATAATTCTCGTTGTGACATAATTGCAATCCATTTGTGACACAGTTTGGGAATTATTTACCAATGCTGTACATCAATTAAGTACAACAGGAGAACTGCATAAAATTAACAAAAGCTATTTATATTCTACTTTGTTTTAAAATTTGAAGTTTCTATTATACATCTCTGTCTTTATTTCAAAACCCAAATGATTTGCTCCTCATTTGTACGATACAAAAGAAACCTAATGAGATGAATCTTAAGTTTTTAAAAAATATATATTAGCCTTTAGTCCCACCATGTTCCCTCCTTTCTTTTCTTTCTGCTTGAAGCTGTGGCAAACTCTTATTTAGTTTTTGCTAGTTCACATAATTTGTCACTTCTGGACTTCTCCTCTTGTCATATGTTCCCATCCAAGAGTTTAAGTTTTGATTGAGCATTCAGGCTTTCAGGAAAAAAATATATGTAGGGACAGGCAAAAGTACCAAGGAAATGTGAGCACAAGAGTTTTTCAACAATTATTTCTCTAAAATGTGGGGACCAAAGGAAAAAAATCATTTTTGGCAGGGCAGAATTCTTACAGGGGAAATGACATACTTCTGATCCCCTGTTACTGTATCCCTTTTCCACCTTACATTTCAATAGTGTCAAGATATATTTTACGGTCTAAGGATAGCTAGGATGTTGATGCCAAACAGTCCTGAATTACAAGCAAGAGTGCTCTTGTATATTATCTGAGCACCCTTGCTTGGTTCCTTCTGCCAGCCAGGAAATCTCTTTCTAAAGGGGTGGCAGTCTGCAAATATGGTTAAGAGTGCAACCTCCATCATTTTTGCCAATATAGTCAATAGTGGAGAAAGGTGGGAGTAGTGATCCAACAGCCATTTATCAGTGTGTATATGCCCCTTCAAGCTCCCCTTTGGCCCTATAGCAGCCTCAGAAATTGCGCAGGATTTTCTTAGGCAAGGAATACTTAAGAGCTGGTTCTGTCAGTTCCTTCCTCTGAAACACAGGCTACAGCACCTGGTATTCCTTTGTGATCCACCATCGAAGTACTAGTCCTACCTAATCTTACTTAGCTTCCAAGATCAAATAGAATCTGTTGCCTTCAGAATATTTAGGTTGAGTGCTCACCTCTAATTTAGTGTTCAAAATAAGCTCCTTACCTTGCTTCTCTCTTAACGAATCAGGGAGCGACAGCCAAGAACAAATCAGACTTGTTTTTGGATTTTTAGATGCAAAACAAGCTGACAAATAAGCTTTAGGACACTTCTTGCTCAATTATTAAAAGCAATAGTTTTTAAGATACTGAGATGATTCTATGGAATTCTAATTTATCATGACATGTAAACTAGGCCAGTGTATGAAAACTATTTCAAAATAACTTTAGTATCACACACTTAAAGATTGGTTACTTCCATTTAGCACTAGGTACACTAGGCAACAAAGATCTGCATAGTTAAAGCAATGGTATTCCCCATAGTCACCTACGGATGTTAGAGCTGGACCATAGGGAAGGCTGAGTGAAGGAAGATATATGCTTTTGAACTGTGGTGTTGGAGGAAAGTGCTGAGAGTGCCTTGGACAGCGAGAAGATCCAACCAGTCCATACTTCAGGAAATAAAGCCCGACTGCTCATTGGAGGGAAGGATAGTAGAGGCAAAGATGAAGTACTTTGGCCACATCATGAGAAGAAAGGAAGCTTAGAGAAGACAATGATGCTGGGGAAAATGGAAGGAAAAAGGAAGAGGGGCAGACCAAGGGCAAGATGGATGGATGGCATCCTTGAAGTGACTGGATTGACCTTGAAGGAGCTGGGGGTGGTGACGGCCGACAGGGAGCTCTGGCGTGGGCTGGTCCATGAAGTCACGAAGAGTCGGAAACGACTGAACGAATGAACAACAACAACACACATCCTTGGATTGCCTTCCACAACAATTCTTCATGCTCAGAAAGAGGTGCAAAAATCAATGAATGGATAAATAAATATAGAACAGTTGTCTCCTTCTCTTTAAAATAAATGAGAAGAATAAACATGGAAATCCAAGTTCGAGACACCAGTTATAAAGCAGAGGACAGCAGCTTCCATAACGTAAGACTTAAAAATTCTAATTTTTTTGGCAAAAGTTGTATTAAAATGGCTTTCAACACATATGAATAATACTTTTAGATGCTTAATTCCATTGATGCTAACATTCATAAAATATAGAAATGTGATTAATACTTACTGGAATGTGAATGGCTTTGAAAAAAACAAAAATGAAAGCACAATTGTCATCGCTTTTCTTCCTGTTGTTACTGAAGAAAAAGAAATACCGAATTTACACACTTATTCGAGTTCAAAGAAAAAAACAGTCTGAATGCATCAGAACATAAGCACCGTGCAAATGAACACAAACTTCAGCATCACAGCTGATTTGAACTTGACAACCTGACATCATAGTATCCAAAACATAGAAAATTAGCTGTGCTAAAGGTCAAGAGAAATTAATGGGATTTAAGTTAGTTGTAGCCAAAGTGCTGTGTTGTCTTCATATGGGAAGCATTACTAACCTTTATTATAAAAATCAGTATTTTCAAGTCTTTCTAAAAAGGTGGACAATACTTTTTATGAATGTGGTTCCTTCACATTCTGAGCAAGTAAACACATGCAGATAATACTTTTATGGTGTTCAGAAACCTTTAACTGTTGCCAAACTTTTCGTGACCCCAGCATTGTGCTAAGGGGACCCCATCTGTGGCTGGGACCCACAGTTTAAGAAGCAGTGATCTAAAGCACTAATCCACAATGGCAAAAGGCTCTGAGGGCAGGCTTCTTCAGCTCGCATGTTGTGTGTAATGCTTGAAGGTGCTTGTAGCAGAGAATTCAGGGCCTTCAAAAACACCAAGAGATAGGGGAGAGAAGTAGAAAGAAACCAAAGAGGCCAGAATTGTTGTAACAGATCCCTGTATCTATAACAAATGGGCAAAAGTCCAGGGGCTACTCAATTGTATTTTTTCTCAAAAGAAAAAAAAGAGAAGATAGGTGAATTATTCCACTTGGAAGTTATCAGGAGCTGCAATTCATTTTTTAGATTGCAGGGAATCATTTTTAAAATTAAGTATAAAATATGATTTTAAAAACTATTCCTAGCATCCTGTTTGTTATTTACCACAGTGTAGCTCAACTTATGCCACTAAAGTCATTTTTTTGTTATTACCCAGGTTGGAATTCTCCACCAACTTCAGACAATTGCCCAAATTTGCCTCAACCCCTTTCTTGAGCCAGCCACCCAGCTCCTGTTCCCATGGCCTGTGGGGAATTCCAAAGCTAAACAATGGATTTTGAGGGCCTGAGAGGAGAAGTAATTCTGTATTTGGAATTTTTATGTCAGGTCTCCATGAGGCATGATCCTGACCTTTCAAAAACTGGAAATAAACTTTCAGCCAATTCAAACTGTTTTGGGTTTTTTTTTTAAGCAAACACTGTGGCCCCCGGAACAATTACAGGAATAAAAAATGCCCCCTAGATCAAATGAAGTGGGCCACTTTTGTTTTAACAGAAAGAGCTACTGCAACCTTTAAGAGACAATTTTTAATCTGGGAGAGTGAATTTTCATCTGTGAGATGTTTGGTATTATTTGGCGTTATATACATTGCCATATATTCCAGTTTCTGAATCCAGATTATCTGCTTTGAACTGGATTATCCTGCCCTTTATGTATATTTTGGTCCAGGTGTGTCCATGCATTGGACATGTTATAAAAAGAACTAGAACATGCGAAAGACCACATTTGTAAAAAAATAAGTTATAACAATCATTTGGTTACCATCTCAAACTTACTTTAGCTGTTTCAGAATGATATATTCAACTGATGAGCAATTTAATTAATTGGTAAGAGACAGTTGCCCCATGACTGCTGATTGACTGCACTAATAAATATTGCATTATGCTTGCTGGTTCCTACAGCTCCAGCCCCTAGAAGTCTACTCATCCCCAGCACCTTTAGGCATCGACACAATGAGGCAGACTTCACAGGGCAAGTGTCTGTGCGTGGTGGAATTCCCCTGCAGGCATAACAATGTCAGCAAATTATGTCGCTCAGGCTGCCTGTCAGTCTTCTGCTTTAGCAGAAGATTTTGTGGTTATGAAGCCTTTTATAGGTCCTCTTATCAGCCTTTCGCCATACCGTATATCTGTCTCATTCTGCCACAATCCCCTGCAATGAAATAATATGCAGCAGTAATGCAGAACTTTTTTCACCCCATGGATAGCGAAAGCACTTCTTTATGGATGTGTTAAATATTTTATTCCCATTTGAAAAATGAGAAATGGCAGAACAAGAATTCAAAATGATTCATCCAAGGTCATCCAAGTATTCACTCCCAGAAGTAAAACCAAAGACCAGGCTGGAAAGCAAAAAAATTGTTTTTCCTATTACTCTTTAAAAAACGTAGATCAGCTGCATCTACTCAATGGCAAATTAGGCTGGCATCTGGGCAGTTGAACACCATGCAACCACTTCAGTTGCTCACACCTCAACAGCTACAGTAACTGTGCCATCTTTGAATAGACAAATGTCAGCACATTCAGCATGGCTTCTATTGGTCATTTAATTACTATAGTGAAGCATAGTTGGCTCCTAGCACTGAGCAGAGCTTTTGACTGGGACTTTGGAAATGATCAAGCACATTTTCTCTTGACTTCTTTCTCACACACCATTCTACAATGCTAGGGACCAAGGTACACAGACATCCTTGGAGAGACATATCTAGTACATGTTTAATACGTTATGAGGCCATCTCCAAATCAGTTGTGGCTATATGGGCAGTTGTGGATTAGTTCTTCCTGTTCCATCCCTAATGTTAATCCATGATCCATGGTGTGGATGGGAAAACAAATGTACTGAGTAAATTATAGGAATTATTTTCAGTGTATGAAGACCAATCCAGGAAGTCTGTCTGAGAGAGAAATTTAGCAGGCTTCTAAAGCTCCAAACATGGATACCCACTCTCTATCACTGTTACTTCGTTTTCCTTCCAAATTATTATAAGATGTTGATACTAAGAACATATTTGGTTCATCTATTAGCTGAGAAATCTTATGCATACAGGATTGAGTAAGTTTTTTTCTGTATCCGGAGCAACTTGACAAGCTGCAAGTCGCTTTTGGTGTGAGAGAATTGGTCGCCTGAAAGGATGTTGCCAAGGGGACGCCCAGATGTTTGATGTTTTACCATCCTTATGGGAGTTTTCTCTCATGTCCCCGCATGGGGAGCTGGAGCTGACAGAGGAAGTTCAACCCACTCCCCCTGGATTCGAATCGCTGACCTATCGGTCAGCAGTCTTGCCAGGACAAGGATTTAACTCATTGCACTACTAGGGGTTCTACTGACTAAGTGAATTCAGAATTTCAAAACTACAGCATCATTTTATGGTCCACACCCCAGGAACCACCAGGGAAAAAAAAGAAACTAATGCTATCCTCTTCATTTTCCTAAGGTGTGAGAAAAAGCTCCAACATCAATGAAGAAAATCCAACCTCAGTTCTCTACTCCCTGAACTTGTGGACCTTTTCCTGACCTTCATATATCCTACTTCTTGAAGCTTTGTTGCTGGGAAATGTGAAAGGAAAGATGAATTTCCTATTGGCAGACCTACAGCAGCTTTCAGCTGACTGAATTCCAAATGCTCTTGGTTCCTGAACATTCACTCCTGTTGCCATCAGTGGGAGATAAACAGTAACAACAAAATGGAGGAAATGTGATGAGTATATTTCTCTCTCCTTTTCTTCCTGCTGCTAAGAGCCCAGCAGATCACTCATGCACTGGAAGATCTAGTCAATCACTAACTGACTTGTTAACATCATCTATTTCAATGGTCTGCATCTTTTGTTCAACAGGTGCAAGATTACTTGATAACACAACCTCTTATCAAAAAATGAAAAATGAAATCTAACCATATTGTTCCTTGGATCAAACCACAAGATGAGGCGGAATAATAATAATAAACAAAGCACTTCTAAATCATGCAATTTACACACAAGGAGCTTGGAGATTTTCTAATTCAAGCACCCCCTTCTTTTATTTGTATTTACATACATTTTCTTTCTTGTATAATATAACATAATATAATATAATATATATATTTGGTGGACAGTTCTGATACATGGAAGGTGACATTGTGTCTAGAGCAATGATCTAAATTTGTGCAAACAGCTTCTGCAGCTGGAAGCACTAAATCAAAACAGAAAATATGCACGCTTTTAAGACACACGACCCCTTGCTACATGAATCTAGCAAACCATTCACAGGACAAAAGAACAGGAGCTGGAAGAGAGAAAAAATCACAAGCTTTTCTGAACAGTGGGATTTTATGAAATTCTTCTATGAAAATATGAACCACGTATTTACCTGTTACAGCCAAAAGAGCCCCAAAGATTTTGATCAAAGCCAGGACAAAAGAGATTCCAAAATAGCCAGTCAAGGAAAACAGGAATGCATAGCCATATGTTTGCACTGGATGCTATAGAAAGGACAACAAATTATTAGCAGAATGCTAAAATGGTATTGATGTATTTTGAAAGGAACTGTCTTTAATACAGTATTTGAATCAAACTAAACTGCTTTAAAGCAGATTTTACTTAATTTTCACTAGATAATACAAAAGGAACAATGAAATGATGTGGCAATTTGATTTAAAAGTAGACCCTGGTGAGTTTGGATAAAAGTATGTATCTCCAGGTCAACAGAGCAATTCTAGGCATGTTTGCTCACAATTAAGTCTCAATACATCCAATTATACTTACAGGACTCCATCCTTAAATAACAAATCACACAATATGCTTTAAAATCAGTGTTGAGAATAAAAAGACATTAAGGAATCTAGTAGCAACCTTGAGACTAATTTTTTTAGCACAAGCTTTTGAGGAATACAATCTAATGTATCAGAGCTAATGCAATCCACAAAAGCTTGTGACAGATATTTGTTTTTCCAAGTTACTTTGAAGTTGCTACTAGATTATATCTTTTAATGTTAAAACAGAATAGTATGGCTATCTCTTTGTTCTGAGAACATAAAAGCTATTAATGTAGTTTTGCCAAATGAGTAATTTCTTTGTATGTTAACACATGTTGTGAACCGGTCCGAATCCCTCTTTGAAGGTGAGAGGGTCGATATATAAAACCTCGAAATAAATAAATAAAATAAATAATAATTGAGAAACAAGGCAATGACTTACAATGAAGTACAATTTTCATTGGAAAGAATAAAAGTGTTTTACCTTTGAACAAAATGTTACTGCAGGGGTTAAGCCATTAGTGCATGTCAGTCCCAATAAAATGTACAGGAAACCTATTGAATAGGAATACAAAACCTGGAATAGTTACAAAAACAAATTATTTAAACTTGTGAACTTTATAAAAGGCTATGAATTGTGTGATTTGTGGTTCTGCTGGCACATCTCTTTTCTGATGCCATCTTGTTTGAAAGTCAAATTTCTCAAGCAAAATCAAGGTGAGTTCACAGTTAACGGATACATTTATTTCTCACTAACTTTCAATAAACCTTGTTCAGTTGGCAGGTAATGCTAAGTGGTTGTCTAGTTAACCGATCTGTGATTTTACACAACCAAACTGGGATTGGATCGAGAGAAAGAGTGACCGCATGGAAGAATCTTGTTCAAACCCTAAAATACTAATATCTCTGTCTGTTTTGATTTAACATAGATTTTTATCATAAGCCTTTCACTGAAGTCTGAACTGTAAGGAAAGACTGTGAATTCGATTGGATAATTGCTGCTGGAACTTTTTAAAGCTCGTCCTTCATGTTATTGTATAAAATCCTGTACTTAGATTGCTGTTTTTTTACCTAATGAGACAACCTGCTTTTCCATATGTGTGATTCTGAACATCAGAGGCAAAAGTTTAAATTATGATTTTGTCCATGGATTGTACAGCTTGGACGTCATCATAGCATGCTAGTGAGCCAGTCCAGTTTGCAAACTTTGCTGTTTGTCTATTTAATCAGTTATTAGTATATAACAGACATAACAGGTTTAAGTCTTAATGATTTCAGTGGAAGTTAAGCTCCATAAAGCAACAGGACCTAAAAGTGACAATCCATGATTTCAATGTCATATGGGAGCCCCCGGTGGCACAGTGGGTTAAAGCCCTGTGCCGGCAGGACTGAATATAGACAGGTCACAGGTTTGAATCCAGGGAGAGGCGGATGAGCTCCCTCTATCAACTCCAGCTCCTAATGCAGGGACATGAGAGAAGCCTCCCACAAGGATGATAAAAACATCAAATCATCCAGGCGTCCCCTGGGCAACGTCCTTGCAGACGGCCAATTCTCTCACACCAGAAGCAACTAGCAGTTTCTCAAGTCGCTCCTGACACGATAAAAAAAATTTCATGTGAAAAAGAGTTAGCTTTCTCTCACTTTAAAATTAACTTTTCAGTCCTGATAATAATATTGTACGTGTATTTCTGTTAGCAAGATAATTTCAGTGGATGGGATCTTTACTTTCTAAACAAGATCAATGCTAACATCAATAGATTTCAGGGAACATATTAATATGCAGTGGAATATTACTGTTTTGGAAAATAATAGAGACCATGTGAACTTTTTGTTATATATCGGTATGGTGGCCCACAGTATTAGGGGACCTTGTTTTTATTTGGATCCATAGATCCAATAACAGAAATCAAACAAAGCATTTGGAAGTTTCCAATAAAAATAAGACACAGCACCATCAAGCTCAAATGATTTTCTAGAGAGAAGTATCATTAATTGTAAGATCTCTCCCCATGCCTGATGTGATGCTACATCAAATTATACTGAAGACATTAGGATTTTGTGTAGAAGTCATCCCTTTTGACTGGACAGCTCACGTGGGTAAGAACAGCTCCAAGTTTTCCATTATGACTAAAATGGACCTGGCGCTATGTGAGGTTTGCTGACTCTAAGCACCAGCCCTAGTCTATTTCCAACACATTAATTTAAGACAGCAGTCTTGCAGACTAGAATCTTAACGCAATCCTTTTGAAACAGTTTTAAAATATATTCTTCCTTCTCCCAATCTGTGCAGACAAGGGCACAATATTACAAAAAACATTAAGTTCAAAATAATGATGAATAAATATGTAGTGGCATATATATTTCAAAAGTGAACATGGGCATGGCTGTGAAGAAAATACTAAAGCTACTCAATGATAGTAATCTTCCCTTTGACAAGATTTAGATTATAGCAGTGCAAACCATGCTGATAATTATATTACCTTGATCATATAATGATTATTTGTAAAAGATCTGTTTTAAGTTGTGGATTTTTGAGGAAAAGTTTCAGCTGTTTTACTATTCTTTTAGGCTTGTAATAGTTCTGCTTGCCAACCAGAGCCAAGAATTTTCTAGTATTAGTGTCACATCTTAGAAACACAGCAACTTGAGTTAAAACAGAAGGGAGAAATGGAACAGAAACCTAACCACACTCTTAATTAAATGAATGAAATGACAGAAGGGAAGCATTTACCATTTCGGAATTTGAGCCATTGTGCAACTTCATAGCTTTTTCTTGTACATTTCCTATGACTGCATCTGCACAGAGGGCAAGGGATATAAGTACCACACCTATGAAGTAAACAGGGGAAAAAAAGAAAATAAGCTCAAATACCTCCATATTAGGACGCAATAAAACAACATATATATATATATTCCCAAATGCTGATAATTAGACAAACACAGACACTAAAATTCCTCAGATTATGCCTAGAACGCTAACGGAAACCAAATGATCCCCTTTCTTACAAAGATTTATCTTGAAAAGGTCTTGCTGCAATGTCTAATGTTTTATGTTTATGTCTACGTCCAAGGTTTTATAGTTTAATGATATTAATCTACAGTTATATGTATTTTACATTTATGTGAGGCATTGAATTTTGCCATTTACGATGCTGTGAATTGCTTTGATTCCCCCCAGGGGAGAGAAAGGCGGTATAGAAATGGAATGAAATAAATAACTCACAGGAAACAATGTCAAGTTAAAACCAAACTTTACATCTGATAGTTAAATCAGGCAAAGAAAACTATTACTCCAGAAGGAACTGTAACTAGACTCAATAAATTTCAACTGCATCCTGACCTAGACCCAAAAAATTCCCACTTTGGGCAGCACAGGTTGAATTTCCAGTATTTTACTCTTCAGAGGGAACTTCCTCATTCCACCATTACAAACTTCCTTTGAAATATCCCTCTAATCCAGGAGAGCTTGTTGTATAGCCTGGGAAGTGATTGGGCATGGCTTCCTTTGAGATTAAGAGTGCAACTTGTCTAAAGTTTCTATGCATGACAAGGGATTTGAACCCTGGTTTTCCAGAATCCTAGTCCAATACTCAAACCACTACATCATATTTCATTCTTAGTTATTTAAATAAGTCTATTCTGTTGGTGGAAGGGTCTAGTTTGGGCTGTTAAAGGAGTTTAGAAGAGGTTGGACATCACTCCCTGCAGATAGTTTCATCTACACTGTAGAAATAATGCAGTCTGATACCAAGACAACTGCCATGGCTCAGTGCTATGGAATAGCTGGAGTTGTAATTTAGTGAGCAACCAGAGTTCAAAGAAAACGTAAGTGTCATCTAGTCCAACCCCATCCTGCAATACAGGAATGCAAGATTAAATTACTCCCAACAAATTGAATTCCTCTATTGAATGACTCTTATTCTCAGTAAATTCTTCCAAATGTTTAGTTGGACTCTCTTTCCCATGGAACATTTGCCTGTCCTGGTACCTAAGGAACTGCTTACTTGCTTGCAGTAAGTAAAAATCTGATAGTATCTTCATTACATATACTCCCCAAATGAAACTGTATTGTTCACCAAATAAATGTATATAAATCAGTAATAACACATCCGAAAGAAAGGAATACGTTCACAGAGGCCTGAAATATATAGATGTTGCTCTGCTACTCCCTGCTCCCAAAGTGTGGGATCTCCTGCTTCATTAAGTGTGCAGCGTGTAAAGGGCAGGAGTTCTACTGCTATTCAGGAAACCGTTCTGCTTTACAACACTCATATTCTTGCCCCTTTAACTCTCCAAACAGAAAATTGCATGCAAAAGTATATTCCAGTTCTGAATGCAAATGAATGTTTCATCATATAGGAAAAGGCTGTCTTTAAGGAAAACATTTTAAATGAAAAATAATAAATCCCAAGATAGAAATACACATTACTGTATGTTCAGTATATTCATTCAAATGTGAGAAAATATGTTTGTAGTAGCTTTCCCTCAGAGGTTTGGTTCCTGAACATGCAGTTTATTATCATGTTCATAACATAAGTAAAATTAATTGCAAAGAGAATTCCGACATATCTACATCTCCAACCTGCAGAGAGATTCACAACTTTGCTCTTCACAGCATTCATGTCAGTACATATTTTTCAAAGTACATGCCCCATGAGTAACCTTCTCATGGGGCATGTACCTAAGAATACAATGTGTTACAAAAAACAGCCTTGTCAAGAAGCCTGCATTGTGTACACAGAGCAATGAGTCTTTCACATTCTCACTCCAGTGCACACACCTACCTGAAGGAAAGGCAAAAGTGGCATCTTTAAAAGTAAACAACTTATTTCAATATGGGCTGAAGCATGACTTTTTTCAATATCGGCACTCATGAGACCTTATACTGAAATATATTGGTTTGTTTTAAGTGTGCCACAAGACTTTTTCCTTTTTGGCCTGAAAAAGACACACACAGCCATCTCCTTGAAAAGTAACTAAAGGAGATATATCACAAATAAAATTTCTTCTCTGAAAACAAAATGGGATTTTTCCAAAAGCTTTCCATTAGGACATAGCTCACTATGACTACTGGCCTCCAGTTCTTGTTATTTTATTTATACTGGTATTTAATTATTTTAATGGGGTCTTAATCCTGGTCTACACACTGCAGGAATTTAAATCAAAAACCTTGTGGGAAGTTCTTTGCACACACTTCATGGACATCTTCTCTGTGCAATGTATTTCTTTGCAGTGACTTGTACTCCTCTCTCCAAATCCTTCAGGTCTTCATGAATGAATCGAGGATTACAATCCCAAAGCCTATGAATCTCTGATGAACTCAATGTAGCGTCACATGGGCATTCTTCAATGCTTAGTAAGCAACTTGGGATTTGCTATGAAAAGGAACCACTATTTTATTCCTACTCTTGCAAATATTTAATTTCATTTTGTGTGCAAGATGTAATAAGCATTTTTACCTGGGAAAAGCTCTGATTTGCATCTTTAGTAATGCATACACAACTTTAAAAATCACTACAACTTTACATTAATAGCATATAGTTATAAATATTTACTGAGAAGTTAGTTCAATGGGACTTACTCCCAAGTATGAATGCACAAGATTACTGGTTTCAGATCAGATAGATTGCTACTTTATCAATAGCTTTTCTCCCTGAAAGCAATATTAATTTATATCCCAAGAATGATTTTTAAATGATGCTATAAACGTAAAATTTACCTGTAAAGTTGAAATTTGGTGCAATTGTGCTATCAGCTAAAGTAAACCATATTAAACCCAAGCTCATACACATTGCAGCAGAAACATCTGCGATATTATAACGTTTTCCTGTGTTAAAAAAAGGAAAGAGAAAAAGATGGATAACCAAAGGTGATGCTGTTATTTCTTCTGTTTATTTGGTCTGAGAACATATCATATAAACAAATTAAAAGTACAAACTTCCCCACCTTGCCCAGAGGCATAGGTCTAATTTAAGTTGTATTTGTCTGAACCTTTATAAAATCACCCTTCTTCAATGTATAACAGTGCAGTGTTTTTTCTGTGTCAGCAGCAACTTGAGAAACTGCAAGTTGCTTCTGGTGTGAGAGAATTGGCCATTTGCAAGGATGTCGCACAGGGGATACCTGGATGTTTTACCATCCTAAGAGAGGCTTCTCTCATGCCCCCGCATGAGAAGCTGGAGTTGACAGACGGGAGCTCACCCCGCTCTCTGGATTCAAACCGCCGAACTTTGGGTCAGCAATCCTGCCAGCACAAGGGTTTAACCCCATTGTGCCACTGAGGGCTTCAACAATGTAGTGAACAGTTATAAAATATATTATATCACAAAATCGTTAATACAATGAGAAGATATCAACAAAATGTTATGTAAACCTTAAGACAAAATTGCCAGATTAAAATTACCCGGCCTAAAAGAAATGTTTACAGCTGATGCCAAAAGGATTGTATATTTAATGCCAAACTTTTACAAGAGGCTCCATAAATGGGGTGTCATAAAAAGGCTGCTGCCCTTAGTAGAATGCAATCTTTAGAATGTAGGTATAAGAAAAGGTACTCATTTACATTTTACATCAATTATGTTATGTTATCAATGTTGCTGCTGCTTTCATGAAGTCTTTTTCTACATGAGATCTGCAAGGTAACTTATTTAAAAACTGGTGTAAGAGGTGGATGAGAAACTGATATACGATGGTGAAATAGAAGATGTTACTAATATAAAACTGCAAAATCTTTTAGTGATTGTTTTCTTGGGGGTGGGGTGAAAAATATTTTAAATCCATGGATTGTTAAATCTGTGAATATGGAGGACTGACTGTACATACAACCCCGGGAACCCACAAGATTGGCATGAGAAGTAAAGTATATTATCTCTTTCTATATTATCTTCCTACTGCAAACACTTATTGAACTCATGTGGGGAAGCAGCAGTGCAGAAGCAATAACCATGCTACTAAGAGTGACATATCACCCAGCCCTCTGCACCAATAACTTGACATATGGCATTAAAGCATTTCTGCTAAAACTGAAACTTCATAACATCTTATTGTATAACACCATCTGCACATCATCTAAATTCTTGGGAACATAGGAGTTATGAATGTTGTAAGTGGCAGGCTTCATTGCACTTTCTGGCTGCTTTAAAAGTATTCCAAAGCAATAAGTCCAGAAGTCTGGAATTTTCAATTTAAATGGTAAAATGGATTTCAACCTTGAGATCACTTTCACACTGGAAATCAACTTCACTATCATTACATAATCTAGCTATGGCATTTTCATTGGTGGTTCAAATTCATTACATAAGTGCAGCTAAATTTCAAAAGCAAATCCAAGTGCTTTGGAAAGGAGTCAGTTTGGAAACCCTTTCTTTAGTTTTCTATATACTTAAAGTGAACAAAATAAGCAAAATTATCATTGTGGGCTATTCTCTAGTGAATCAAATAGAGAAAAAATAGTCTTATAGATTTGATAAATGATTCAGAGTAACTATTTGCGGACACGCAAACGCCCTCAACTTATTTCCACCAGACTATCTTCCTTTGGTCTATAAACAAGTATAATGAATAGCACCTTTACTTCTGATTCAGGGAACAGGAGTAGAAAGCTCGATACTAAAGAAGGAATGTATTCTGAGATCACCAAAGTAGCAAAAGGAAAAAAGCGACTTTTTTCTCCAGCATAAATGCCTAGCTATTTCTGCTGAACTGGTGTTGATGTAAGTTAGCGACAGCAGAGGGAGATGTAAAACAATAGAGGTCAGAAGTTGCATGAATCTTAATTAGTACCCACACAATGGGTACTCTATAACAGATGTAAGTACAGGCAGTCCCTGAGTTACAAACATCCAACTTACATGTGACTCCTAGTTACAAACAGGAGTGAAACAACAGGAAGTGATATGTAATCTACCCCTAGGAAGGGAAATTCACTCCTGCAAGAGTTATCATGGGAAAAATGTGTATCCACTGAAGCTTTATCCCCAATCCTTGTTTCCACAACAATCCAAAATTTCCAAAATGTAATTGTCACAGGGATGGAAAATAAGGGGAAATCTTCTGAATAGCATCACAGATAGCAAAACGAATGTTACAGGGATGTTAGCCCTTCCCTATGCTATTTAAAACTAAAAAAATGTGCTGGAGTTACACTTACAAATGCTCCTGTTTTGACTTTCATACAAATTCAACTTCAGAACAAAGCTACCCGGGAATGCTTGTAATATGTTTTATAACAACAGGTTCAGATAGTTTTCATGTCACTGAATACATTTATCTTTGCAGCCATGAAGTTCTTTGACATTCTTCTTAATAGAACTGTGCAAAGATCACAAAACTTTCTTGGAGAATGCATCTTGAGCACAAATACTTTCAGTGTCTCATTTGGAACATTTGATTTCGTATTATTTTGACTCAAATTCAGGAATTAATTCTCTTTTTGGTGCAACCAAAACTTCTACTTGGAGGTGTGGGGAGTGAGGTGAAAATAAACAAAAATAATTAAGATTTCTATTCTCTGAAATGAATAGCATTCAATAGCAAGAATAAGGCATACCTTGTATAAAGACTCCACCTATCATAACTGGGATCAGTTTACAGCACTTGAAGATTACTTGTGTAGGATAATTCAGATATCCTAAGGAGGTATTTGATAAACCCATTGTCCCCACTGTTAGAAAAGCTATTATCATGTAGGTTTTGCCTGGAATCCTGGAAAATATAAATGAAGTTCTGTATTGGGAGCAAATGGCAACACCAGAGAGGCTTTATGTTGTACTAAGCAAGGTCATAGCTAAAACTGGTGACTTTTGCTGAAATTCATAGAATTTATAAATATCATAACATCTGAATTGTACATTCTCAATCTAAACAGTTAACTACTGTAACACCATAAAAGGTGATGTTTTATTTTTACACCTATTTTGTAAGGTTTTAATTTTTCCAATTTAAAGAGACAAAAAGTAAGACATAAACAGGAGCAGTCTTTTTCAGTATTCATCCTTTCACTCCACATAAATGTACTGAAAAGACAGAATGTGGTATACCATAGTCATCTCTCTGTTAAGATCAAAGAATATGTCCCAGCATCACACAATGGAATTACACAAAATTATTCAGTTTGAAAACGTTAATCTTAGTGAAGGTTCTAGATGTCTCTATGAATATGAATATAGAACCTCCATCTCCCAAATATCATATGTTAACCTTACACAACACTAGGCTGTTGTTAAAAAAAAAACCCAAAAAAAACCCCTTGGATCTTAACAGCACAGTTTCTTTTCTGAATATAACTCTTTACACTGAACTGGTAGCATTCTTGCATTATTCAGGAGTTTCAAGGTCAGAGATCTATGAGCAAAGCGGTATACTTCCAAAGGTCTATTTCAGGTGTACAAGCTCTACACAGTTCGCTGTTTCCAGCCTTCATCAAATGTTAACTTTCTAACAAGCTAACTCTGTTTAAACGTGCTGAAAGTCTGAAACAGCTGGAGTGAAATTTGAATTAGATTATTCTGTTAAACCAAGCAAGATATAAGCCCTCAATTTAATCAAATAAGAAAAGCAAAGGCAATTTCTATAGAATGTTTTATGAATTCTAGGATTTCTGTCAATTGAGGCAGAGATCAGAAGGTATAGTTTATATATGAACCCCACACACAAAGGGTAGTAGAATCACAGCAACCCAGTAGTGGAATTGTAAAATTCTATTTTAGTATCATTTTTAAAATTTGACTCTCCATAAAATTAAATATTAACAACATATCCTAAGAATATGACAAAATTGTTAGAAAAAAATGTTTGATTAGAACTGTTTTTTTCAGATTTTTTTCTTAATTCAATTTAGCAAGTTGTGCTTAGTTTTACTTTGGAAATATACACTCAGTAAAACTATGCATCAAAATGAAGTCAGCTTTAGCGCACTGTATTCTAAACATACACATTGGGAAAGAATCACATACCGTCTCCTTTTATCCTGAATAAGTTGTAGTTCTATGAGTCCAAAAACGGAATAAAATCCAAATTGCACTAATGTAAGATACCAGCCAAAGGGTTTAAAGCCTTCTACTGAAAATATGAGTTCCTGGAAAAAAACATAAAATGTTATACTAAATGTATTTTTTACATGGCCACATTATTAAATATAAATTTGCTTTTTTAACATTCAATTCGCTGAATAACACTGGCTGGATCTACACTGCCATATAATCCAGATTACCAAAGAAAATAATCCAGATTATCTTCTTTGCTTTGAACTGGATTATATGAGTCTAAACTGTCATATAATTTAGTTCAAAGCAGATAATCTGGATTTTATATAGCAGTGTCGATCAGTAGCTGAATGAATATGCTCAATCCTTCTGTCAGGATTTTGTTTTAACTAATTCACTTGGTGAATGAAAGCCATTTTAGAGAAGGCAACTCTAACATTATCTAGAGCTGCTCTTTGACCTGAGGGGAGGGATCACACTGATAGAAACAGGGCCTCTTTTTAGCCCATCTCTTGTGGGGCAGTGCAGCTAAATCCAAAAGAAACTCTGCTTGATTAGATCCATTTGATCCGCATCCAGTGACAGGACACAGAGGTAAAAGGAGGTACTATTTGCTGCATCTCAGGATAAATGGCTCTGGTTCCATTAATTATTCTAATTCACTGCAGTATAAATATCTGAATTTACAATCTGTAAAGCTGCAAAATATTGATAAATAGATAGAGAGCGAATATCATGTTTTTTCTCAACCATTTCTCTGGGGTATGCTACCATAATGACATGGAGGGCCCTTCCACACAGCCATATTATCATATATCTGCTTTAAACGGGGTTATCTGAGTCCACACTGCCATATAATCCAGTTCAAAACAGATAATATGGCATTTTATATAACTGTGTGGAAGGGGCCGGAGACATTTCCCAAACATTGCTTTAGTTAGTTCCAACTAGAGTAGACCTATTCAATCAATTGTTGAATGGTGAGTGAACACATGTGGTGGAAATGCCCTACACTTCCTCTAGAAGTCATTTTGAAGCAAAATGGGGTTGCTGTTTTTGAGTCTTTTTTTTTTTACTTTGCCCACCCCTCCTTTATAGTTAGATTGATGCAAATAATGGACTTCTGGACCACAATCATCCTGAGTAACAGCAATTCTACAGAAGGAAGTATACAGAATGAGTTACAGCACTTACTTGCAGGTAGCCATAAATAAGATAAAACAGGAAGACTCCAGACACACAGATAAAAAACTGAGTAGCCTTGTTAAATTTGCTGAGATTAATACCAAGGACGATTACATCATCTACTGATTTGATGTGTGGTGACATAACTTGAGATTTTGATGGTATGCTGATAGAAACATATTTCCGAGAGGAATTGAATTTCAGATCCATGATACTTAGTTTGCTGCATTCAGTTGCGATAAAGTGTTTTCTTAATTTGGAACCTGAAAAACACACATAGTTGGATCACAATTTATGTGATGGCAATATTCATTGAAAAATCTCAATAGCTTCCTGTATCAAATCAGGACATAAGAGTCTTACTTTTGAAAAGGAAATACATTCTCTTACTCATTAACTTGATCAACCAGCATGTCATACTTGTCACTATTGCTGCAGAAATAACTTGCTGAATTACTTACTGTTAATATAATATTGTACTGCTACTGAAAATACAGCAAAATGCTTTCTGGTCCTCCCACCCTTTTCTGATGGTCATAATTTCAGTGAACTTTTGCACGCCCTCCCCTCATTCACGTGAGCATAGAATAGCTGAACATGCAGCTGTCATATGCACTGCACACAGATGCTTTGTGAGAGCAAGCAGAATCGGTGACTCATGAAACCCCTTTGTCTTCTCCATCTCCAAAATTATTCTAAAACCCATGCCCAAATCTTTCTTAGGCATGGATACAAGCAGCCCCATGTCCTCTAAACCCACTTGGGCGGTTACATTAATTTAGCCAGCCTATGTGTGCACCCTAAGCAAATGAAATCTACACAGTTGTTATTGTTTGTTATTTATACTACACCTTCTCTCTTATTTTACTATAAGCAGCTTATAGTAAAATAAAATGGAATACAATTTTAAGATAGGGACCACATGACAAGGAAACACTCTCCAACAATAGTTCCAGAAGGTTACAAATTAGCTTTTGGTCAAGTTTAGATTTGGTTTAGTTATCTGGGGTGCTGATTTAGAAAATTGCATTGGGCAGACCACATCAGCTCTAGTTTCTGATACAGAACATATGCCATCCAGTAGTCGCCATCTGCTTGCCTACAGACCACAGATTGGGTACCACTGCTGCAGACTGTCCCAGTTAGCAACCTGCATGTAGATCTTTGGATCAGTTGGAAGTTTTCTGCACAGTAATCCAAACGGAATGTGACCAAGGCATGTACCACCATGGCCAGATCTAGACCCTAAGGAATGAACACAGTTGGTACACAAGTTTTAATTGTGCACCATTTTGTACTTCCAAAGTCCTAATAGCACAACATGGGCCATAGTTCCTGACAAATATTATATACCCCCTCCCCCCAATCAGTACATCATATTGGACAATTAGATTCAGCAGAATTACAAAATGGACAAAAGAGAAATAATTTCCCAAATGTATTAACTAAATTTCAAGCAATACAACTTTTTAAAATAATTGGCCTTGAAACCAGAAGACTGCTTTAGAAAGCTTTTATCTTAGTTTGGCATTTTCCTATAAGCATCCTACAACTATATGGAGATCAGTAAAGAAAATGTTCTTTTCAAACAAGTTATATATTTGCTTACACCAATTAGTCTCCTACAGTTACTTGAAATGACAACTCAAATGAATCCAGAGCAGCTGGCTATAGGGATGTTATTTGCTTTGTCTTAGTGTGGAAATCCTAGTGTTTGAAAACAAAACTACATGCAGAATATAAAATAAGAATTTAAATATGGTTGCATTATATCTATCTTGACAATTTCTAAGCTGCATGACTGATTTATAAAATCAAATCAGAAATACACAAATAGGATATACAGTATTATGAAAGAAATGAAGTGTTTATTTAACAAAATGCTTAAATGGACATGCCAATCATAGATGCTTAACATAGTAATTGCTAAACAACTCTGAAGGCACATTTTCCCACTCACAGCTTCAGGCTAAATATAGTACTCAAGTAGGACTCTCTATAACTTCAGATCAGCAGATTATTTAGGTAGTAGTTAGTAATTAATTTTGATTTGTTTGGTTGTTTTTCTGGCTGTACCAGAACACAGTTTATGTAGTTTGGGGTTATTTACAACATCCTCTGCTTACTGAGTTTTGTTTAATTTCCGATAGTGTTTCCCTCCAATAAAGTGGGTCTTGCAGTTTAGCATGTATAGCTATCAACAAGGTAAGGTGGTTTTGGCATCACAAGAGAGGAAAATTCAAATAGGGCTTTGCAAAAAGCTAACACTGTACCAGCAACACAAACAAAAGACTAGCACTGTTGTACACAGGCTGATATGAAATGACAGCTTTCCCCATTTTATTTTCAAAACATTTATCTAGCAAGTACACCAGCTCGCAAAAAACAAAAAGCAAAAACAAATCAAGTAATTGGATTTATTTTATTTGTAAAATCGATATTGTAAAGTAAGATCTGCCATACAACACCCTGCCAAGAGTGACTAAAAACTTCTTAGAAATTAGCAGACCTCTTAATATCTTCTCAAGATTAATTTTTGATAATCTTTGTTTTTTACAAACATGAATATAGAAGCCCAGCTTGTAACTGATAAAATTTACAGGGCATGTTCCCAAATTGGGCATGCAGGAATTAATGTTGTAGTCCCCCAGACACAATTTCCATGAGATCTAGTCAATGCAGCCTATGGTGAGAGATTAACGGTGTTGCAGTCAAACAACATCTGGAAGGACAAACATCGCCTGCCCCTGCTCTACAGGATTTGTGAAATCCCGATTTGTCATCTTGGATACAGGATTTCAAGTCTTCAAGTCATATCTGATAGAAGTATCAAGAAGCTCTACTTGATTCTTGCATATAGTTCTCTCTCGATCAACATTGTTAAAATACTGACATAGTTAAAATAGACAACGTCATAAAACAATATAACACAACAACATAACAGAGTGTAAAAACAACCATCGAGCAACAAGCAATGGCCTGAAAGAGTAAGTAGTTTCTGGGTTCAAGTGGCGGGCTGGTGCATATCAGTTGTGAGGACAGGGCTAGTGGATAAATTGCAAAAGAATTAGGTATAGGGCAACATGACAGTGTGCATATTCATGGCAGTAACTGCCATTGTAGATGCCAAAGCCATCATTGGGACATTTTAAGCCAAGAGAAACCCCTCTAGAAAAACTGGGCTTTGGCAACGGTTACTGCTAGCCCAGAAATCCAAGAGTTGCCTTTCAACCTCTGCATAAGTTATCCAGTGAACAGCTCTCCATCTATCAGCACCACATAAGGGGCGTGTGGCCCATCCATGAGCACCCACTTCAATTCTGCTTCCTCCTCCACTACATGATGCCAGTGTCTCAATTCAGGGACAACTGACAACCTATTTGATGGGTAGCATTCAGGAGGCTGACACAGGTAGATGTCCTGTTCAAGGGAATGTAGATTTTCCTCTCAATAGAGTTGCACCAGCCCGAGTCTGCTGCCACGGTACAAAGGAGCAATCCTATTAGGAGCTGCCCAGCAGTGCCCTTTGCATCTTCTCCTTCACTGCTGCCATCTTTCTCCAATGAAAGTATTAATGCAAGCCTGGGTCCAACCAAGTGTCAATGGTTCAGACAGGCTATAGAGAAATTATCATCAACCACATCTAAGTTTTCATGCTAAATGCATTTACAAACATGCGAAGATTCAGAATTGAAGAATCCTTAAAACCAATGATTAATCTATTTTGATTTATTATCTATAAATTGATACTGACCTTTAGCAAGATTTTTCCAGTGCATATTTTTAAAGCAATTAAGTGTACTATATTGGAGCTACAGTCCTAAACATGTCCTAACCCTAACTTTAAAAGAACTCTAAGGATTTTACTCAAGAACAGCTAGGACTGGACTGCAAGTAATCTTGAAGATATATCGTGTTTAGGGATGTGTATGTGTCTGTGAACATATGTAGGTATGTATGGGAGTAGAATACAGGCAGTCCCCATGTTACGAACAAGACAGGTTTTGGAGGTGTGTTCTTAAGCTGAATTTGTTTGTAAGTCGGAACAAGTATAATTTTTAAAATGTAACTCCAGCCAATATATATGCACTTTGGATAGCATGGGGGAAGGGTTAACACCTCTGTGGTGTTTATTTTGCAGTCTGTGCCCCTGTTCAGAAGAGTTCATCTTACTTTCTGTCCCTGGGATAATTGGATTTTGGAAAAAAATGGCTTGTTGTGGAAAAAGGATACGCGATAAAGCTTCAATGGAGATACCTTTGCCTCATTTCCTGTTGCTCACCCCCATTCTCAATGTTTGTAAGTCAGATGTTTTTAACTCAGGGAATGCATGCATCCTGCTCACCTATGAACAAGGTTAGCAGAATGAACACCTATGAATTCCATCCATACAGGGAAACCCAGCCTTTTATATTATATTTCATGCATTTAAATCAGGGATCCTCAAACTTTTTAAATAGAGGGCCAGGTCACAGTCCCACAAACTGTTGGAGGGCCAGATTATTATTTTTTAATTTAATAATAATAATAATAATAATAATCTCCAGCAAAGGATCACCGCCTTGTCGGGGCGCTGGAGCTTGAGCACCTCAATGATGTCATGAGCGAAACCGTGAAGGGCCACCCAAGACGGGACGGTTGTGGCAGAGAGGTCAGACCAAGCGTGATCCCTGGGGAAGGCAATGCAAACCACTCCAGTATCCTTGCCAAGAAAACTAAATGGACCAGTACAACCAGAGATATGTCGGTATGCCATTGGAAGATGGGACTCCCAGGTCGGAAGATGGCCAAAATGCTACTGGGGAGGAGCAGAGGATAAGTTCAACTAGCCCAAGATGTGATGACGCAGCTAGCTCAAAGCCGAAAGGAAGGCTAGCGGCCGACGGTACTGGAGGTGAACGACGAATCCGATGCTCTAAAGATCAACACACCATAGGAACCTGGAATGTAAGATCTATGAGCCAGGGCAAATTGGATGTTGTTATTGGTGAGATGTCAAGACTAAAGATAGACATTCTGGGTGTCAGCGAACTGAAATGGACTGGAATGGGCCACTTCACATCAGATGACCACCAGATCTACTACGGCGGACAAGAGGAACATCGAAGAAATGGAGTAGCCTTCATAATTAATAAGAAATTCGCTAAAGCGGTGCTTGGATACAACCCAAAAAATGACAGAATGATCTCAATTCGAGTGCAAGGAAAGCCTTTCAACATTACAGTGATCCAAATATACGCCCCAACCACAGCTGCTGAAGAAG